GAGTTACATAATGTTACAGTAAAGGTTCTCCTATGTTCTGATTCTTCACTGACCTTCAAAGGCTAGCAACAAAATATTACCAGGTAAAAAGAATGCACAAAAAGATTAATATTTTATGTGTAACATGGGAAGAACCCATATATATTAATTAAAAGTATAAAATGAGAAAATTCATGCACTAAGATTATTCCTTTATTCTCTAATTAGTATGGTATTTGAAAATGTGTTTCTACATTGGCAATAAGTTCTACTAGACTGGATATTTTAGAAGCATGTCTAGAAAAATACTCCAGAACAACACAATAGGCCAGAATTTGGACAAGACTGCAAAAGAACCGAAAGGAAAAGCAAAAATAGAGAAATAGAAATATACTTAAAAGCTTCCTGCTGGGGTAGACAGTACACACCCACAGCACTCAGGAGGCTAAGGCAGGAGGATCACCACAAGTTCCAGGCTACTCTGGGCTTTATAGGAAGTTGCAGACCAGTCTGGACTACATAACTAACCCTATCTCTAAATAAATAAATAAATAAATAAATAAATAAATAAATAAATAAATAAAGCTTCTATACAGCAAAAAAATAATATAGTGAAGAGGACTTAATATAATAAAATATTTAAAATATATGCTTCTGACAATGAGTTAATGTTTAAGGTACTTCAAGAACTTAATAGAAAAACATGTATACCGTGCCTGTGGTGTGGATGGGCTAGAAGTATGTTTCATCACTATGATCATTTGGCTTCTATATTTATCCCTTCCCTGGGGTTAAAGGAGGTCATGTAACACAGTGAGGCCTTAACTAACTACACTCAGTGAGCCTTAAACAACACTAAGACTGGTCTCCCTCTTGAATGAAAAAGGAAAATTAATGAGGCAAGCTGTCCTACAAAATTGGATGGCATTAGATATTCTAACAGTAGCACAGGGGGTATTTGTGCAATTATAAAAGTCAAATGTTGTATATATATTCCTGATCTTTCCACTAATGTCTCAATAGCTGATCAAGATATTAAACAACAGATTAATAACATGTCAGATTCTGAAATTCCCTGGACCTTCTCCTTATCCTCTTTCACTAGCTCTATTACTAGCTCTTCCTGGTAGAAGAGTTTGTTGGCTATAATCATAATTATGATGTTGATTTCATTATTTTGTGCATGCATAGTTGTTTCTGTGGCCTTAGTTGTCCCCTCCAGACTTAAGGTTGTATGTCTACCCAAGACAAAACTCTCAGTAGGTACCTATTGAGAGTCTCTCAATAGACCCGTTGTGGTTTATCTCTGACCAAGGATCATAACTTCAACTCTTCATTTTTTTTATTTATTTTATTGAGAAACAAATTAAGGTTAGTAGGACAGTTACAATAATTAATACATTGCATATTGTTGTCTTTGTAGTAGTTATTCATAGTACAAGATACAGCCATGATATCCTGTCTAAACACTATTTGTACAAATCTTTCTTCTCGTTGAATCAAGAGAAAGTAGCTGTATATCTATCCTATTTTGTACATACAGATACAAAATGATCCTTCATTTATATCCCCTTTTTTGTTTAGTTTTGTCAAAGTAAATTCTGTATCATCTCCCTAGTGGAAGAACTCAAAAGAAGAAATAAAAATAGAAAGTTATAACACAATTAAAAAGGAAATCAAGAACTTAAGAATTAAATAACAAATACAGGGCAAGGAGAAAGCTAGGAAACATGACAGGGGCAAAAATCAACCCTTTTCAGCAGGAAGTAGTTAGATCAGTCTTTATCCCTTGACCCTCATAGCAGTTAGAGCTACTTCTTCATAGGTGGGACTATTATACATAGCTAAATTAGGCAGAACTATTATAGGCAGTTAGACAAGGATGGGCCTTCAGAGGTCAACGCAAAAGACAACTGTGACTGGAGGTGCATTCGTTGAAGACCAGACTTCAAGAAAAAGAACTATTCTTACACATACATCTAGGGATGAACAGCAATGATTGATATTCTAAGTAGACATCAATCACCTTGGTCTGGAGACCTAACTTCCTTAACCCATTAGATCTCTATTTAACCAATATTACCTTAGTGACTATACTTGTTGTAATCCTATTGGTTCACCATAGTTTTGTCCCATCTCACACTCAATGATTTGCCATTGGATCAATATGACCTAAAAGACTATACTTGTACTCTTATTTATTGATTATAATTCTGTCCAACCTTAATCCCACCTCACCTGATGGTTTTGCTCAATAAACACCCTTGAGAAGTGGGGTTGCTGGGAAACCCACATTTGGGGTTGCTTTCTGTCCATGTCTGGCAGAAGTTTTTTTTCTCTCAATAAACTCTTCCTTCTATTCAAAAGAATACAAGAACACATGAACCCAGATGCAGTTTAAAAATAAGCAATTGATATATGCACACATTTCTCAAAAAAATATATGAATAGCTAACAGGTATATGAAAACATGCTCCATATCACTAATGATGAGGCTACAAATAAAGACCCCAATGTGCTATCTCCTCAGTCTGGTAGCAAAGACATTATTTTAAAAGACAAGAAAAGATCACCTTTATGTTTTTTAAAGGAAAATGGATGCAACTAGACACCAAACTCATACGTGAAATAAATCAGACCTGCATGTGTAAATATCATATTGCCTCTTAGTGTAAGAAACTGAAAGAGTAAATAAAAATCTGAAAGGTACAATAAATACTATGGAAGGGAACAAAACTGTTTAAAGGGAAGGAATAACAGGAGGGGGGAAAGGAGAAAAAAAAGAAGGGAAAAAGAAAGATCTAGCTATCTTATGCTTTTGTATATATGAAGGAAATGAAATCAGAATGCTGAAGATTTCTCTGTATTCCCATGTTCATTGCAAGACTATCTACAATAGCTAAAAATTGGGGCTGGGGATTTGCCTCAGTGGTAGAATGCTTGCCTAGCAAGCTGGAAGCCCTGGGTTAAGTCCTAAGCACCAAAAAAAGAAAATAAAAATTAAAAATAACTAAAAATTATGTACCACCTAAGTGTACATCACCTGATGAATGGATAAAGAAAATGTGTTTCTTGTAATCCCAGTGCTTGGGAGGCTGAAAACAGGTTCATAGATCCCTATGAGTCTGATTTGTGCAATGAGATCCTGTAGACCCTGTACAAAAATGCATGAAAGAATGAAAGAAAGAAAAAAAGTGTACATAAAAATGGAATACCATTCATTCTTAAAAAGCATAAGACTCTATCATTTTGCAACAATATGGAGAAAACTAGAAGCCATCAAGTTAAGTAAAGTAAGCCAGACACAGACAGAACACAATTTCTATTCCATATAGAATATAAAAAAGTTGATTGTATGGGGTTAAGTATAGAACACTGGTTACCAACATCTGAGAGAGTAGATGTAGGGAAGGATGGAAGAGGATGACCTACTGCTAAAGTTAAACTTAAATAGGACTAGAAAGTTCTGTTGTGATTTTTTTTTCAGTACTAGAGCCAGAGGTTTGAACCCACTAAGATATATTTTCAGCCCATTATTTTTTGAGACAGGTCTTCCTAAATCACTAGGTTGCCCAGGGTAGGCTGGGACATGTGATCCTCCTGCCTTAGCCTCTCCAGTAGCTGAGATTGCAGGTGTGCACCACCATGCCCAGCTATGCTATGTATTTTAAAAATCTAGACAAAAGGGCTTTTAATGGATTCATCATAAAGTAATGGTCAATATTTAAGACTGATGTGGTCTTTTTTTAATTTTATGAGGGGTTTTTTTCTGTATTTTAGGGAAGGGTCTGCAAGGTGTTCAGGGTCTCACTACTAGATTGGACTCATAGTGATTCTCCTGTTTACAGCCTCCCAAATGCTAGGATTACAGGCGTTCACCACCACGCCCAGTCTCAGTCACCATCTCAGTGTTCTCCAGAGGGCAGGGCCAGCAAGGCAGGCCTGTGGATCAAACCTTGGCCTCTGCACATGCTTGCCGGCTCTTTAATTGATGTGCTTAACCTGGTTTAAAAATACAGGAATATATGTATGAAAATACTACATAGTACACCATATAAATATATAACTTTGTATTAATGTGTCAGTTAAAAAGTTTTATCAAAATTTCATGAAAATTGCTGAAAAACAAAAATAAAGCAAGTAAAGATATGTTTATATCCATAATATCTAGTACCAAAGGTCTAGTGTTCTTAAATATATTAATAGAATCAAGTGAGATAGCCAGGAACAACAATCTGATTCAGCAAAGAGGACACTAGAACACATCCTAATCATTCTTGCCTCTTAGAAGTCTGTATTACAAAGGAGGTTTATTTCTGGGCATGGTGGCACATGTGTGTAACCCCAGCACTTGGAGACTTGGGCAGGAATACAAATAAGAGTTTCAGGTCAGCCCGAACTACATAGCACAATCCCATCTCAGAAAAGTGATAGATAGATATAGATAGATAGATGATAGATAGATAGATAGATAGATAGATAGATAGATAACAAAGATAGATCTATGTAACTATTTCATATGTTCAAAGAAAGAATGGTTTTAATCTACATTTACTACATATAAACACCCCACATTTGGTGTCTTATTCATTTACCGATCTTTTGAGTTTGTAGATTTAGAGGTTGGGTGGGACTCAGCTAGAGACCGCTGCTTCTCTGGCCAGGTTCAGCTGAACTTGGTCAAGCCCTGCAGGTGAATCTGCAGTCAGCTCCCAGGAAGCTGATGGCCAGAAGAATCTTCTTCTTCTCCATGTAGACCATCCAGATGCAAATAGCCAGGACCCTGTAGCCAAATGACTCCTCCCCTACTGATGCTGCCATGCTGAGGATTATTGTTTGTATATGATTTTGTTTGTATTTCTTGTCTACATTTTGTTTCTGTTGCTGTGTTAGGGAGCTTAGTAAGAGTAAGCCTTGTCCAACTCCATGTTAAAGCTGGATTAGATGTTATGAGATGTGGGAAATCTCTGTTTCTCATTTGGGCTGCAGTCAATATCTAAAATTTTAATTTGCAGGTCGTTGGCTGTGGCATTGGGACCAAAGGGTAGTGTGTATATCCAGAAGCTGATAGTACTGGTTTCCCTGACGGCTTAATAGAATTATTTGCCACGTGTGCACTTTCTGTAGAACAGGATACTAAATTAGCTCCCAACAATGGGCCGAACGTACATTGTAGATGACTCTGTTGGCCAGTATCTTTCAAACATCAAACTCCAAGGAAAACCTTTTGTCTCTGGTCTTCTAATAGGACAGTGTTCTTCACAGAAAGATTATGTGATTCTTGCCACTAGAACACCACCCAAAGAGGAACAATATGAGAACCTCAAACATCCTAAAACTAAGTTGGACTTTTTAGATGAAGAGTGGGCAACAGAACATGCCCACCAGGTATCCAGAATGCTACCAGGGGGACTTTTGGTTCTTGGAATGTTCATTATCACAACTTTAGAATTGGCAAATGACTTTCAAAATGCCCTGCGCAGATTAATATATGCTGTGGAAAAATCTATAAATACAAAAAGACTCTGGAATTTCACAGAGGAGGAAGTTTCAGAACGAGTGATACTTCATATTTGCCCTTCTACGAAAAAATATCTTGTCGAACTTATGATGTCTGTGATCCAAAGAGTTCGGCAAGACCTGCAGAATGGAAGTATCAGAATAGATTATCTACCTCATGGATTTCTCTGGAGTGTACTGTTCACATTGATATTCACATCCCTCTTTCTACTACTTCTGTCAGCTATACTCTCGAGAAAAATACAAAGAATGGTCTTACACGCTGGGCCAAACAAATTGAAAAGGGTGTTTATTTTATTAATGGACAAGTTAAAGATGAAGATTGTGACTTATTAGAAGGACAGAAAAAATCTAGAGGAAGTGCTCTAGCACCCAGTCATTCTTTTGATGTCCGAGTGCTAACACAGTTGCCCCTGAATTCAGACCACAGATCCACAGCCACAGTCCAGATCTGCAGAGGTTCAGTAAACCTGAAGGGTGATGTGAAATGCAGAGCTTACATTCATAGTAATAAACCCAGAGTTAAAGATACTGTGCAGGCAGTGAAGAGAGATATATTGAACACAGTCGTTGATCGCTGTGAAATACTATTTGAGGATCTACTTTTGAATGAAGTCCCAGAAAAAAAAGATTCTGCAAGAGTTCCACATCCTCCCTCACCGAGTTTTTGTCCCCATTCCTGGATCCACTGTCATGCTGTGTGGTTATAAATTTGGTGATGAGTCAGCTGAAGAAATCAGAGACCATTTTAGAGAGATGTTAGATCTGGCGATTGAAGTAGAACATTTAGAAATTGCAGAGGAGATTAACACAGCTTGCATGAGTTCCTCTATGAATAGTGAGTCTGCATTGGACAACGCTGAAGATGAACAGCCAGAGCAGCCAATGAAAAGTATAGTAGCACTGAAAATTCAGCAAAACATAGGTATGATTGCAGCATTTGCAGTTGCAGTCCTTGCTGCAGGCATCTCCTTTCATTACTTCAGTGATTAGAGTGAGGCATAAAGAAATGTCCTGATCATCCAGCAGACATTGATCAGCAACTGTGAATAATAAGGTTGTAAACACCTATATGTAAGACAGTAGCAGCTACATCTGCTGCCATAATGAGTATTAGGTATGTTTCTAACATGAAATCACCAGCTGCCTTCGTTAGCCTGCTTCTATTATAGGTGGCCCAAGTTTTCAAAAATAAAGTTATGCATTTAGGTGAGAGTTGCATGTAACTCATCATTATTTTTAAAAAGTGAGATACCAGAGATTTTAGTCCTATTGATATGTATCTTACATTGTTCAGGGCATTTAACATATGAGCAGTCAATATTGACTACAAAATCTTAGTAACAGAGCATTAGAGGAAATTCCTACCTTGTGGGGGCAACAATTTGTGGAGTTACTTCATCCTCTGGGAACTTTGTAATATATATTCAGTTTCAATATTTTGTATCTATTGTTCTGACCAACAACTAAAATACCTTTCCCAAGAGGCATAAGTCAGTGCAGAATGACAAATCATATTCTTACTCAGGTTAGTATATGATAAATATATTTTACTATGTTAAATAAAACTTTTGCTTATGATAGCATGTTGCACTAAATTCTGCAAAGCCACTAGTTCCAGGAATAAAATCTGTTGAGTAGATTCAAAAAAGTAGGAAAAAGCTTCAAGACCCATATATACTTCTGTCTTTCTTCCTCTATAAAAATGAATATATTTAAGTTGGGAATCGTGAATAATAATTAAGCATACAAATGGAGTGTGGTTCTTTGGATGGCAAACACTGATAGGGATGATACTATATGCAGTTTGCCTCCAACCAGAAACAGGAAGACGTGAACATGAGATGGTTGGTTACTTTGTAGTGCTTTGCATCTCCTAGCAGAAAACATTTCTAATTTAGGTCCAAGTTTCCCATAGATTATAATTAAGCGATATTATTTGTGACCGGAAATCATCTACAAGATGATACCAGGAAGCATGAGAAATAATTTCTGGAAAAAGCAAATGCTGAATTTAGCTTTCCATCACCACCATAAGAAATAACAGGTATAGCCATGGGCAGATCTGTAAAAAGAAACATAGAATTCCTAAGGATGAGAAATATATTTATTGAAATAAGAAAAAAACTTGGGTATGTTGATGCATATAGAACTGATTCTATAGAGCACTGCTTGAAGAGACCAACAAACTGGAAGCTAGATTGAAAGACATTATCAACGACAGCAAGGAGAAACAGCTAGAAAGTATGAGCAAGTTAGGAGATACAGAGGGAAGAACTATGATAGGAAGAAAGAATGGAAGAGAGAGACTATAAGGAGATGACCGAATTTCCTACATTTGCTTGCAAAAGCAGGAAATGAGGAAGCAGATCGTATCTGGAATATATCTAGAAATCCATGACTAGACCAAATACAAGAATGGCATGATACCAAACAAGATTTTAAAAGCAATGAAAGGAGGTAAAAAGATCCTCTGTGAACCCAACCCCTGCTTAGTAGATTTCTCAACAGCAGTAATGTCCTCAAAAGATGGTAGAATAGTATCTTCAGAATTCGGTTTAGAATTTGCACAAAAATACTGACTTACAAAACTCTGCTAAGACAGCTGCAAAATTTGATCTTTAACAAGGAAAATTACTCCAAATACGTGATCCAAAGTGAGAAAATAAAATGAGAAATATAAGTACATTTAAAGTATTATACAAAATAATTATAATAAAAGTTTTTATAAGAAGTTGTAAGCAAATATAAAACTAAATAAATATTGTCATACAACATTAAAAAAAAATTTAATTTGCATACCAAGATGCCCATTAAAAATGCATTTATGAACTTTAGCTCCAGAAAACCTTATTAAGCAGTGAAAGGTAAGACAAAAATCAAAAATAAACAGACTTTAAAAGCATGAAGCAAAAACTGACCATCTTAAAGGTAGAAATAAACAGTTCCAAAAAAGGAAAGTAATGAACTCCTTTAATGCTGCACTTCCAATAATGTACAGAAGCCCCAGGCAGGAAGATCAGCAGAAAAACAAGTGATGCAAAGTAGTGATGTATATCACCAGGCAGGCCACCTGACCCTGCAGACATCTGTGGAATGATCTGTCATCCTCTGAACTGAACAGTCTTGAACAGAGTCCATAAAGTAGGCCATAAAGTACATTTGAAGGAATTAAAAGCACATTAAATCATGCAACACATACTGACCGAGCAGAATATAATGAAATTAGAAACCAGTACCAGTTGCAGAAGTTCACAAATATGTGGAAATATAGCAATAAATTCCTAAGTAATCAATATTTCAACAATAAAAATATCACAAAAGAAAATAGAAGAGCCAGCCTGATAGCTCAGCAGATTGAAGAGCCTGCTTAGGTAGAGTATAGTAGCCTGGGTTTGATACCCAGCATGCCTATGAGTCCGATCCACGTAGTAAGACCATGAGATACACCCTGTCCTAAACACAGAAAAAGAAAAAAAGAAAGAAAGAAAGAAAGAAAGAAAGAAAGAAAGAAAGAAAGAAAGATACTTAGAAAGTAATAAAGACAAAGCAAAGTATAAAGTGCCAGAGTCCTAGCCCAAGTCTGGTGAGTGTATGGGAGAGCTTTCCCTGACCCTGCGCCAGCAGTAATAGGTCCTCTACTACTGGTCCCAGCACAGGAGCAGTGTGGGTGAGACTGTCTTCCACCCCCTTGGGACGCCCCCCACCACTCTGCATCACCTCCCCCACCCGACCCCCGAGTAGGAATTTCTGCCACATTCCCAGAACCCCCAGACCAGTCCTAGCCCAGGCCCAGTGAGTATGTGGGAGAGCTTCCTGCTACCCTGAGCCTGCAGGACCTACTGCTGGTCCCAGCCCAGACGCAGCATGGGTGAGACCCTCTTCCACCCCCTTGGGACACCCTCCACCACTCCACAGCACCTCCCCCACCCCAAATGCCAAGTACAAATTTCTGCTGCATTCCGGGAACCCCCAGAACCAGTAATAGCCCAGGTCTGGTGAGTGTGTAGGAGAGCTTCCGGCTACCCTGCACCTGCGGACCTATTACTGGTCCCAGCCCAGGGGCAGGGTGGGTAAGACCCTATTCCATGCCCTTGGGACACCCCCCACCACTCCGTAAGATCTCTCCCACCCTGCCCACCAAGTAGGAATTTCTGTGCCATTCCTGGAATCCCCAGACCCAGTCCTAACCCAGGCCCAGTGAGTGTGTGGGAGAGCTGCCTCTCCCTCCTACTCCACCTTTCCCCTCCAGGCTGAACTCAGGCCTGGCATACAGGCATGGGGTAAAACCCTGCAGCTAAAATCCCTGAAGAGACTGTAGAGGATAGAAACATGCAGGTAGTCCAGGAGCAGAAAATCTTACCAGAGGGACACAACAGGTTCAACCTCAAGGGCAGCAGAAGGAAGGAGCTGAGCACAGCAGCCAGACCTAAGCTAGGCACAGCTGGATAAATCCAAACTTTGTAGATCTGCACCTGAACTTCAGTACATGCTAAGGTTATAACTACAGTGAAGATCTACAAATAACTCAGAAGACAGTACTACACAAAATGATGAGAAGGAACAAAATGCAATCTCAGAACCTAAGCCCACACATAACAAGAGCAGAGGACACTAACACAGAAAAATTGGGAATCACACTGCTGAAAGCAATGAATCAACGGCTTCTGAAATAAAGAAACAGCAGCAGAACGGTATAGAGGAACTCAGATTGGAAATAAAAAAGAAATCCCTGAATTAAGAACATCTGCAATAAAGAATCAAATGCAGAAACATGGAGGAAACCCATTGCCCACCCAGAACAAGTGCAGAGGACACTAACTTGGCTCAAATGAATGAATTAATAGGGTCGATAGTAAATAAGCAACAGCAGAAAGTTATAGAGGAACTCAGAGTGCAATTCTTTTCTGAAATAAAAAAAGAATTGTCAGAACTCATAGCATCTGAAGTAAAGAAGCAACTACAGAAACATAGGCAGGAAACCCAATCTGAAAAAAAAAAAAAAAAAACTGCAGTAAAGGAATTTATAACTGCTTCTAAAGAAGACATGGATAAAAAAAATTCAGGAGATTAGAAAAATGACGGATTCCTTGAATGAGCAATACAGGAAAGAAATAGATCACATAAAGTAGAGTCAAAGACATATAGAAGAAATTAAAATCTCAATCACAAGCTTGCAAAATCGTTTAAGTGAAAGTGAAGACAGAGTTTCAGATCTTGAAGATGCTGGTGTAGCTAGTGAAAAGGTAAGAAAGGATCTCTTAAAAACAACGAGGATGGAGGAAAGAATAATCCATCACCTGCAAGAGGATGCAAAGATGAACAATGTGACACTAATAGGCATCAATGAGAAAGAAGGAGTCAATACAAATGACATTAAAAAATATATTGGCAGAAGTAATAGCAGAAAACTTCCCAAATATGAGGAAACAATCTGACATTCAGATAACCTAAGCATACAGAATGTCAATTAACCTAAACCCAATAAAAAACACATCGAGACATATAATAGTCAAGATCCCAGAAATTCAGCACAAGAATAATATACTGAAAGCCACTAGAGAAAAGAAACAGATCACATTCAAAGGAAAACCCATCAAAATTATGGCTGACTTCTCTTCAAAACCATGAAGGCAAGAAGAGCATGGAGCAGAGTACTTCAAGTCCTCTATGAAAACAAATTCCAGCCCGGATTATATACCCTGAAAAACTCTCTTTCAAGTTTGATGGAGAAGTGAAATACTTTCATGACAAAGAACAGCTAAAGAATGTAGTGATGACAAAGCCAACCCTACACAGGCTCCTGAAAGATGTTTTAGAGAGGGACCAAAATGATCAGAACTCCACGAATGAGATTAGAATCAACCAACTAAATAGGGCAAGCAATTAAACACAGGAGAAAAAGTAGTAAATGACAACAGGTAAATAACATGTCAACCATAAGTCAATACATCTCAATTCTAACCATCAATGTAAATGGACTCAATTCACCAATTAAGAGAAATAGACTGGCGCAGTGGATTAGAAAACAAAATCCAACAATATGCTGTACACAAGAAACACATTTAACTCATAAAGACATTCCTAGGCTGAAAGTCAAAGGATGGAACAAAATACTACATGCCTCAGAACCTCAGAAAAAAGCATGGGTAGCAATTCTATTTCTCAGACAGTCTCAACTTCAAACCAACAATGATCAAGCGAAATAAAGAAGGCCACTATATACTGGTTAGGGGAAATATTCAAGAAGAAGAGATAACATTCATAATATGCATACACCAATCACAGGAGATTCCAAC